AACGTGGACATGTCCCCCTGCCAGGCACCCCCCGATGGTCTTATACAGTTGGTAGAGGGAGAGGAGCATAATTACCTCAGTCTTTGGATGTTCTTGGAAAGTGTAAAATATTTTCTGACGGATTGGACAGATTGTTTATGTTTGTTTCTCAACAGTCGCAATGGAGAGTTGTTGCAACTCAATTATTTGCAGAAAGATTGACCTGGAAAGGTGAACCAACTTCTCCAGGGCACTGTCCAACCTGCCTCCAACATCCTCCAACGTTCGACCTCCAGATCAGAGACCACGGTGACCACATGATGCATGCTATTGTGACCACGGCGTCCTCATCTCAGGAGCGGGGCCTCACCATCGGCTCGGGGGGCCTAGAGATCACCGATGCTTCGCGGCGAGAGTGGAACGTTTGGATTTGGTTGAGAGAGAGAGAGGAGCAGCCAGAGCGGACGCAGTCGTCAGTATGTGGATGTCGCCAAGCCCAGCTTTTTGAGGGCTTGAGGATTGCACCGGAGTTTCCCTTGGAGTAGTTCAAGTTGTCAAGATTCCATGATTTCTTCAAGACTCAAGACTCTTGGAGTATTTTGGAGAGTCTTGTCTTGTTCTAATGTTTCGCCTGTGTTATTTGTGGTTCTTTTGTGTGTGTGTGTGTGTCTCGCTTTGCGAAGATGAATACATATGAAACATGTCGGGGATACTGGGAAACTAGGAGTTGCACTTTGGGAAGGCAAAACAGTTCCTACCGCTAGCTCCCACAGGGAGAGATAGGGAGAACCCCCCTCACCCAATAGGGTGTGGTCTATCTTCCTTCTTCCAAGGGGGGGTCGAACTGGGAGGTCTCCCCACCCAAATCTTGCTGAGTGCAAGGCCTTGGAGTTCGCAGCACCTGTCCATCAAACATGGCACCTTTTGTGAATTCATGGTGTGCAGTGATTGCTTTACTTGGATGATGGAGACACCCTCCAATCTGTTGCATCATGTGGTGCGCAATCCGAGCCCCCTTTTTGTCAGCAAGACTCCTCAAGAAAGTGCGATCCCTGATGAGGACTGGACCCATCAACAGTGAGAAAAGAAGAATCCTGCAAGCCTTTAGAGCAGTGGTCACATAGACCCTATAACCTGTGAGAGCAAGCACAGCTAGCACTGCTACTGCGATGGCGTGTCCAATGCTTCTTTTGATTCTCTCAGCCGCCTCTGCGCAAGTGGTGTGTCCACTGGGAACGCAGGCCACACACGAAGCTCGAACAAAAGCTGTTGGTCAGATAGCAGATATAGAGATTGAAACCTATAGTGAGCTGTACAGAAATACGGTGGCCACGATGTCATTCTTTCCTGTGGATGGCTGACTAGTACTGTACCGCTTCCTTCCATGAACCATAGAGTAACCCTGTGCTTTGAAGGTCTTTCCCCACCAGATCACCATTTTTAGAGAACAACTACCCAGCGAAGCGTCTTTCAACCATAGAACGTCGTGTTTAACCACTATCGTAAGGTTTTCACCCCCCCATCCACCCCATGGCCTCCTAACCATCAGTTGTTTTGCTTGTCCATTGTGGCTCTTGGTTTCACCAGCATTGCAGGTCTCTGCGGGAGGCGACCATGCGCTGATCTCGATACCCGAGCCACGGCCGGCGACCTACGCGCTGGGGGACAACCGCTATGGACAGCTGGGGCAAGGACATGACCAGGCATGGGCAGCGATGATTGGCGATGATGTGTGATTTTTTTCAGGTGATTGGGTGATGAGTTGGGATGACACACTTCGGAGGAAGGAATGAGGGAAGCCATGTTCAAAGTAACTATATAAACACCTTTATAATTGGACTAAATGATACCTATAATTATACAAAAAAATACGTCTGTAAAGGTCTTGAGACGATTGGCATGATTGAGATGGGGCTGGGTGTTTTCACAATCTTCGGCATCCGTGATTTGTTCGGCATCAGAGTGCGTCGTCTGCAGAGTTGTGTATCTTCGATTATATTCAAAGTATATATATACGTATATACCTTGCACCAGACGACTCGCGTCAGTCGGATCACTTGTGGGTCGAGCAATCGCACCAGAACGGTATCGGAAAGCACGTCCTAACCGTGTTGCACCCACCGTGGAACCTACGCACCGGTCCGGTCGCGGTGCGGTCGCCTCCGAAAACGAGCGGACAACAGGCCATCTCCCACCGGGTGAAGATCGAAGTGGGCCCAAGGATCGAGGAGACTGGGCGGTGGATTGGTGTTCCATGGTGTTCCTTTGTTGTACACGTAAAGTGAAGGGCGAAAGTGAAGGGCTCATGCTTGTGATGCAGATTGATGCAGTGATAAGTGATCAAAATTTGGAGTATGAGGATGCAAACGGTTAGACATGGTTATAGCAAAAAGATCAGATATTCTCGTTGCAAGCTACAAAGATCCTTATGGAACCTTTCATCTGTTCAGGAGAACCAATGACCGGCTAGGATTGTGTGGTGCGTAAATCATTGCGACTGACCCATGGATGAAGCAGGATGAAACAAGTAAAATGTTGTGGGAGCCATAGTAGAATGCAAAAGAACTGATGAATGAAGAGCAATCGCTCCTGTGTTTGCAAGTCGCCTGCAGCCAAATCCAAAATACATGAATCTATATTGAATCTATGAACAACTGCTCCTGTGTTTGCAAGACACCTGCCACCGCATAGAATCCACAAGATGAATCATATACAATATAGATCCGTATAGATCTCACCCTAGATCCACACCATATGCATTGGAAATCTCAGTTCTCACCACCGTGATGTGTCCGAGGGCATTGCAGCGGGCTCCACCCATTCGCTGCTGTTGGCCGACGGCACGGTGTGGGCCGCGGGCGATGGAAGCCGCGGGCAGCTGGGCAACGGAGGTGCCCTGCAGTCAGGTAGTGAAGGTCCATGGGATCCATGGAGTAGATCCATGGTCATCGCTGAAGAGTGCACTCAGCATCCAACAAGAGTGCACCCAGCAGTTGCTGGAAACATGGTGTAGAAACCACCATGGCAATGGGGCGTAAAGCCATAGTAACAGAATGGAACAGGAACGGTGAACAGTCTCAGGGGTTCTTTTTCACTCAACATCCACGAGCTTAGTCCATGAGTCACGAGTCTGCAGTCCTGGTCGAGGTGTTGAGTCCCAGTGGAGCCCCCTGGTGATGCCGCTGCCCGAGAAGGCCAGATGGGAGGAGCAGGACATGGAGCCACGACGCCACGCCTTCGCGCGGCTTGGAGCCACGCGGCCACGTAGCCGAAATCGTGGCACCTAAGCTGAGTTTGACAACTAAGATGAAAAAAGGACTAGAAACAAACAAAAGATAAAAAAAAAATACAATGGGAAGATTGTGCCAGAAATGAAACAGAATGTTTAGATAAATAGGAATTTGATGAGATGCCAAGCCACATCGGTGTCCAAAAATGGTCTTTGTACTGGTCTGCCAGGCTCTGGCTGCGTCTGCCGGCTGTTGGTTCTCCCTTTTGCTGATGCAGTCGGGCGAGGTGCGGCGAACGTGCTCGCGTCGGCGAAAGTGTCGCGTCGGCCTCGCAGTGACACCGTTCTCGGTGTCTTCTGTGGATCACTGGAACCGCTTAGAGCCTCTTAGAGTCTTAGAGAACCTCATTGAAAATAGCAGGGAGGCTTTTGTTCCACACGGCAGACAGAAGTCCCATTTAATACTGTACTAGTACATACTAGTACCATGCTGTACTTCAATCCAACCTGACGGTATCCCTCCACTGCATCCCTTTCTCCCCCAAACAAGACCAACTCCTCCCCAATACAGCCCCACCTGTCTTGAAGGCGCAATAATGCGCACACCTGAACTTGTTGTTGGACGGCTAATTCCGCCTTGGGCCTGGCGCCCGCGGATGGTGATGGCCCAGCGCACCGCAGGTCTATGGCACTGGGCACAATAGCCTTGGCCAGTTGGGTGTGGGGGACGACTGGCGCCTCACGAAGCCACAGAAGATGCAGCTCCCAGGTCGGCAGACTGTTCTTTTGCTGAAATCAGGTACTCTATTGGTAGTGGTGGGAGGTGGATGGATGGGGTGGTGGGGTTGTGGTAGCCGCCCCATGGCAGCTCTACGTGGCATCACTTGGAATTGTTGAACCATTGTGTTATGAATGACTGGTAGCAACCTGCCAGCAAACACGGTGCTTAAGCGATCCTTTTTTGGAGAGATCAGAGAAATTTCAGTTGATTAAACAGCGGGGCTGTAAGGCACTCTCCATCAAAAGATCCTTAAACAAATTGGAGCTTCTCCTTCAGAGATGGGGACCAACATCGAAAAAAACACAAGCTTGTGGAAGCACCGCGTGTCTCACTTCAACCCCACCCGGCCCGCGATTCTGGAAGACAGGCAAAGCCAAAGGCATTGCCGCAGGGTGCTCCCATTCCTTGGCTGCTTGGCACAATATTTGGCTCTTGAATGTTCTTGATCGCACATATGTGTCACTTAGAGTTCATCCCATTTTGATCGCCTAGTCTTCCCGACAAAACACTCCGCAGAGCGCGGATTGTGCGAGTTGTCATACTGCTCTATACTGCTAGCCATTGACTTGGGACATTGGGGCAGATCATTTGAATATGCTGGTGAAAGCCAGACTTCCACCATGTGCCAAAATACTTTTCGGATCTGCAGGTCTTATTGGAGTCGGGTGAAGTCTATGGAACTGGCGAGAATTGGTATGGCCAACTAGGTCTTGGGCACCAGGACTGGGAGCGCACAACAATGGCAGCAGCGCACCCAGCGCATGGCTGGTGGAGTTGACCCAGAAACGAATCTGAGGGAAACAACATGTTCCACGGGCAGCTGTTGGGCGCCTATTTGGTGGCAAGGGTAGCTGTTGGTGACCAATAACTCACAATAACTCCATCACTGTCCGGGTGCAGTGCTTTGGTGATTGGTTTTGCATACTGAACATGTCACAAGCATACTCCTTTAGTCTTGGCTGCCTCCTTCGAGCTCAGTTTTGACAGGAAGATCAGAAATTTCCCCAGAAGATGCACCTCAACGGCACCGCGCGTGCCATTGCGGCGGGCACATCGCATTCGCTCATCCTGATGGCGCCTTGGTCTAAGTACCTCTTCCAGCGAGAGGTCAAACTGGGTGATGGAACCACTGTTCCATCATGTTCCAAGATATTTGATGATATGTGATATTCCCTGCCACACTTCGGTGATGGAAAATCATGGATCATTAGAATATGTGCGGTCTACTATGGTCTACTTACCCATAATTAGTGAGTCCAGACATCTAAATTTAGGAGTTGGAACTTGAAACTGGTTGCTCATAGATCTGATGTTAAATGTTCTTTGTTGCAGTGTCTTGTTCGATTCATTGGCATCTAGTTCTCTGAAGGAAAGAACTTGGTCTCAACACAACATGCTTTTTATCCACCAGTCATGTTGAGGCACGGGCGGCACAGGTCGCAACCAGTCCCTTTTTGTCAGTTTGAAGCAGCCATTTTGGGGGGGCTAAAGCAAAAGGCGAACAGTTGCAATCTCCAAAAGACGCCGGGATGTGGAGATGCGTTTTTTTTCACCTTGCAACCATCAGTGATGAGTTGGGGCGGTGGAACTAGGTTGATCAACCCTCCAAAAGCTTGTCACAATGCTTTCAGAGTTTGATGGAGCTAGTAGTAGTACTTGCCTTTGTGCAGCAGTGTTTACAAAGATCCAAGATCCTCTTCAAATGATAGGAACTGTGACTCTGCTGGGTCCCTGTCCTAACATGACATCCCGGTGTGCTCAGCATCTGGCCCCAGTCCGCTCGAGGACTCGGGCGAGGTGCTCAGTGTGGGGTCCAACATCCACGGTCAGCTGGGCTTGGGGCACAATGAGCAGATCCTCACGCCCAAGTGCCTTGGGCAGCCGATGCCACCTCCGAAACCACACGCCCAGCACACCGATCTGCGGCCCGAAGACATGTCTCTCAATTGAATGGCTTGCTTTAAGACCCGCCCAGCACAACTGCGGTCAAGTGGCCTCTCATCCCAGTTCGACAGCCTCTCTCCCTGGATGCGTCAAGGCCAATGCCCCTGGATGCGCGCGCAGTGGCAGTGGCTGCGGGGGATCTTCACAGCTTGGTGCCTTGGGATGCCGGGCCACTGCGCAGAGGATGCCCCCGGGTGTCCGGGAGGTCCTTCCATCCGTCCTCAGATCTGTATATACCAGGACCATCCTCTCTGGGTGTTGGACTACCCTACACCTCTTAGAGGCCATGGGACACCAATTGGATGGTCCAGGTATGTCCAGGTATACTTGTACTATAAAGATATCCATAAAGATCTATATATAATTAAAGGTTTCTTATATGAGGGCCGTCCGTTATTGCCAGTGAAGGAATTTCGATCAAATGTTAAAACACACATGTCGCGAAAGGGAAACTGCAGTCCGCGAAAGGCCGGCGATAGGACAGCGAAAGACATGTGCCAACCTAGACTTACATACAATGTGCATAATACATGACACATCCTTTTTCCCGAACAGAAAGACGGATTTTCGCGAAAGGGCTGCGAAAGGCCGGCGGTAGGCCCGCGAAAGGGCGCATTGCCTGGAAGGTCATTTGCCCATCCATGGCCTTGAAATAAGCCTTGAAACATTTGTTTCAAGTATGAATTGACAAAGGGTAATTGGCCTGCTTCTCAGCGCACTAACAGGTATTTAGATATCCCAAACACTGTGAACTCAGTGAAGCTCATCACAATGCGCGAAAGGAAAACCTGTGGTTTTTCTGCAAACGCGAAAGGGTCGCGAAAGGCCGGCGATACAAGCTCAAAAAGAAGAGTTTTGTTGGACAACTCCCATATATACGTACAGTTATATACACATATAGGGCCAATATAGGGATTTGTTCTGTGACTTGGTCGTTTGGCCCATCACCATATTATGGCCACGGATGCAAAAGTCATCAGAAGTCCTTCATTGTACCCTGCAAAGTTGGAAAGGGGCGAAATCGATGAAACCTGATACTGTAGTATTTGTTGCATAGGCGACGTGATTCCAGGACCCCTCCGTGAAAGGGAGATCACCTCCAAAAATGGGAAAAGGTTGGACACATCGCAGGGCCTTGGGAGGATCGACACGCCCTCAGAGATGCAGAGATTCATCCCTTTGTTCCTTATGTTAGAAAACAAAGTCTGCCACATGCACTGCCTTTAATAATTCTGGTTGTTGAGCCAGGGGGCCAAAGAACATGCGGGGACAAAGACCTGGACATTTAGGCCACCTGACCTGGGCTCGATGAATGTGTTGCTATTCAAAACAGAGTTGCAAAGGGGGCGGTGTTGTGAGTGGATATAAGTCGCACCCCCTACCACACCCTAGTAAAACACCCCCTGAAAGACCACTGGTAAATCAGACTGAAAGACCCCCAGAGGTCTTTTCTGCTTCCCCCCCTTCTGCGGTCCTTCCGTGAGGTGGTGACAGAGGATGGCCGTTGCTTCGGTGCGGGGGGCAATTCCGATGGGCAGTTGGGAGTTCCTGGCATTCAGGACGAGCGTCGACCGGGACCCCGTCGGCTCGGACCTGTTTGCTCGGCGTGTGTTTCGAGCTCGGGCGACGGAGCCCCGTCCGAGCGCTCCGTTGTTTTGTACGGCCCTTGAGCCCGTTCGTAGCGAAGATGGTTCCTACAGTATAGCTCTTATAGATGTTTGAACTAGAGCTGTTGCCGTGTGCTTCATCGAACGTCTGAGCTGAGCTGTTGCCGGTGCCGGGAGAGGTGACTGAGAAGTTACAGTACAACCTCAGCATAAGCATTTCAGCCGCTCTAAAAACCTGCCTTTACATCTTAAGTAAGGACCTTGTCATAGGGAGTGACTCCAGGTTTTTAGAGTGGCTCATTTGAGGATATTCGAGGTTTCTTGGATGCTGGGTAAAGCAGCATCGGCTCGGATGCCAACATCAATCACCACTCGACTCGACGATTGAAACTGCAAACCATTCTGCTACAGGTCTTTGGACCTCATGTGACTGGAGTTGGATCATACAAAAGCACATTGTCAAACACTGTTCAATGAGGTAAAGGACTTCTGGCTCTTTGGACCTCACTGGGATTTATCAAGACAAAGGGGGGGCTCCACGTATCTCCACGTGGTTTACAACCACTTCTGAGCAGGGGTCTCCACTCTTGAGCAGTCTCTGGTCACTTGGATGTGGTGTTTTGGCGGAAACACATAGCAAATCTGCTAATCCATGAGACTTAGGGATGGGTGCATTGAACGCATTTTGATGCCTATGTGACTTCTTTTAACGGGAGTGTTGGTATTTGAAGCGAACCGGAACCCGACTACTCTTGAATGGCAACGTTTTACAATGGGATACCCACAAGTCAAGTCTTATTTGATGGACAAAGTCCTGCGCCACCTGGACAGTGTGATGACACCCAAGAGTGCTAGGGCCTAGGGGTTGTAGGTTTTGCCCATGAAATCCATCATTTCCGATTAAACACCGCAATCAGACATAATCAGACATCCAGACAAAGACTCTATGCCAGTGCATCCAGTACACAGATGATCTTTAGATATCTTTAGGGGTATCATAACGTGTTCTTCGAGTCTTAAAGGACCATTCGTACACCCAGTATATCCAGTTGCAAAAGGATGCAGTATCTTACAGTATATCCAGTACAGAAGTGGCTAGGCTACTAGGTTACGCATCTGGTCCTTGACCATCCATCTTTCATCCCTCTTCCAGGAGCACAACATGCCAGTTCGCATGAAGATCACCGAGAGGGTCCTGGACGTGGCGGCGGGGTGGTCCTACTCTCTGATGGTCTCCGACAACGGCATTTTTACCGCGACTTGGTGCGGGTCGGCGGGTGTGGAACTGGAGCGGAGAAGGGGCGGAGGGAGAAAACTGAGCGGGGTGATGAAGCCGTGCGAATCCAAGATATAAACCTCAAGAGGGAACACTGTGATGAAGCCGTGCCTTTTCTCTTTTAAGGGAAGCTGCCTTTCTGTGTTTGTTTGAGAAAGGGGATGCTGACCTCATGGGTGAAACTGAGAAGATAAAAGACATTTAATTCATTGGATAACTCCTTCGTGCAACTTCCTGGGCAGGCACAGCCACGGTCTCCAAACGCAACCCCAGAAAAGCATCGGTTCTACAAAAAAAACAGAAAAACATACCGTCTTCGACCAAGGCGGGCTACAGCCTTCTGCACAATGTCGCGCATATGGATGGCGCTCATCCCCTGAGTTTTGAGGAGCCACCAGTGCTCCTCTGAGAGACGTGCCGCAGCGCAGCGTGGGCGTGTAGGGCAGTCGCTGCGAGATCTCGTTTGAGCCGAGGCCGGTGCCGTGAGTCGTCCAAAATGCGATGAAAGGTTGGGCTGATCAAGAGGAGTGCGAATCTTTCATGGAATCGATGATTGAGGAATCATCATCAATCTGCAGTCATGTTTGGATGGATCATCTACTGTAAATATATCCACATCAAACAACTCCATAGTGTTTTTTGGGTTTCTTGGCCAACCCACTCAGCCCATCGCTTGAGTAGCGACATGGAGAGACTTCAGAAAGTCGCCACACCATTGTCCAACATGGGACGCCTTACGCCGCGAGGGTCTTTGCGTTTTGAAATGCAAGTCGTGAGATGTATAATTTAAGTTCAAGAGCTTTGAAACCGAGTTGAAAGATGCAAGTGTTATACAATATTCACAAAATGATATGTTCCGCATTTTATCACCCCATTTCAGTCAGTCCAGTCATACAAAAACAGTACTCAATGAGGTCAAGGACCAGGTTTTACTTGGTCCTTGGATTGGCAGGGAATAGACAAACTGAATGACCTGTTCCGGAGCAATGGTTGACTGGCGATGGAACATAAGTTCAGCCAGCAGCTTAAGCTGAGTTGCCATGGGTACGACATGCTGTTGGTGTTTTTTTTTTTTTTTTGCGAGATGTGAGGGCCCATCAACATTGACATGTCCTAGGACGGATCCTTTTGAAGACGGGAACCATCTTTTTGAAGCTCTGCTTCCTGTCGGATGCCGGCGTGAGCTCCTGCCAGCACAGGTCGATTTCACCACGAAGGGTGACACTGAACTGGTGCGGCGGTGAGTCTCGATTTGTCCCGGTCTTGATCGAATGGTCGAAGACAGTGAGATCATGGTGAGCAGCTTGAGGAAACCTCTCAGGCGGGATCCCTTCTTTTCAGTTGGTTTGAAGATGTGTCATGGCTATCCAAAGCTGGGATGTCCAAGAACATGTTTCTATGTTCGGCTGTTTGTTTTTGTTTGGTTGTAGAATGCATTTAGTCTTGGTGTACGTGTGGGGCAAAGCAGATGTGTCCTGGTCATGTTCAAACGGCCAGAAGAATCGATGCAGCCTTCGCATCAAAACACTCATGGAGGCATTGTCCAGCTGCAAGGCTTTTGGGTGGACTCGTTGTGGGAGGCATTCTGCCTCATCATCACAGCGGACACGTCAACTACATATAAAAAGACGATGTTTATGATGTTTCCTGTTCCTATTCATGAGTTGTAATGGTTCTATCTACAACTCACACCACCATATAGACCATTAGAGAAGCTACTAGGGGCTCCTGGCATCGGTACTAGCAAGGACGCTACGAACGGGGCTCCTGGCCTTACTAGGAACAAGAAGCTACTAGTAACAGTATGGTTTATAGTTTGTTTAATCCGATGCTTTTTGGATCTCATGAACGCATCCCAGCCAGCACGAGCAGCAGCGTCGTGTTTTGGGGCCGTTCGGAGTCGAAGACACCGGCGGTTCGTCTCTTTGTCGTTCGGGAACGGCGACGGAAAAAGAGCGAAACGACCGGCAGGAGCTGACGACCGGGAGGAGCTGTTTGAGTGGAGAGGTGGTTCGGACTGTGTGAGTGGTAAATCTGTGGTTCCTGTTGACGAAGCCTTTTTCTTCTGGGCTGTAAGGGGGCAATGTAGCGTTGCCTTTTTGGTTTGAAAAATCACTGTAAAAATATATATATATTACTATATATATATATTAATTATTAATAATGATATGCAATACATATTGGAGAGGTAGACACATGGAAAATCCTAGACACACGAGTGTTCCATAGAGAACCTCATGAGGTTGGGATTTGGTGTGACGTCCACCTTGGAGCTGGCTGAACCTGGGAGAGGATTTCTAGGATTTGTTTATGGATCTATGAAATGGATCAAACATAGGCAGTTTGCAGTTTGTATGTCCTAGAGTTAAAGGTGCAAGTCGATGTCGCATGATGTTGCATGTGGGTCAAGTTGCATGGTTTGTTCGGCTTACTCAAATCAATCCGTTCCTTCTCCATCCCCGCACAACCGGACCACCGGCACCCAGGCTGGAACGAGCTCGTTCGGCCCGAAGAGCTCCTCCTGGGTCCTCAGCTGGGTCGGCCGACTGAGCGGGAAGTGGTCGTGGTCCGATCCGAAACCATCCGGGACGAAGGGACGAATGAAACACCGCGGTATCAGTGGTGGTTACAAGGGCAACGACGTCCGACGGCCATGGTAGTCTTGAGAAGTGGCCGTGGCTGATTGTTGGGTTGTATGACCATCGTCCTGTAACAATCGAGTTGATCATCCGCGAACTGTTCAGTCATGTTCAGTGATTGTGTGACCGAGTTGGTTTTGTGGCGGACAGGACGTGTGTGAAGTGTGTGTATGTACATGAAAAAGTAACCAACGGCCATGTGTGTGTGTGTCAGTTTATACTAAATTAATGTGTGTTGTTGTCGTCACATACCTGGACCATCCTGTCGGGGTGTCCAATCTGGAGATACCTAAGTAATTATACTAATACTAATTAGTAGTGGAGGGTAGTCCAAGCAGGATACCCAGACAGGATGGCCCTGGTATGTTTTTGTGCTTATTGGAAACGAAGACAGACTGCCGTGTGACCATGTGAGACACCAAGGAAGATTTTGATGCAGTTTTCATGATTTCAGCGGATGGGAGATGAGGCGCGGGCGGCTCTGCCCAAGTCTTTCGTGGTTCCTGGAAAGGTCAAGAGGCGCGGGCTGCAAAGCGAGACGGCTTACGGGTGTTTTCCGGGTGTGAGGAGGAATTACTTTGAATTCGTTCGGTTTTATTGAATGAACTATGATTTATTGTCGATGTTTGTTTGTAGCATGATTCATGTAGAATTTACTTTGCGCACTCTTTTTCTTGCACAGCCTGCCTCCCTTCTCCACCGGAACTCGTCGCGAAAAAACGGCTTCGAAGGGTTCGGTGGTGCTGTGCGTGCGGTGTGTGGTGCTGTCCTCATCGTGAAAAGAAAGCGAAGGATCCGTGCAAAAGTCAGCGAAGGAGCGTTTTTGACTTCGTTGACCAAACAAATATTACTGTAACTGATCTGATCTGATTGTTTTGTGCGCATGGCAGTGGATTTGGGGGACTAGCCGGACTAGCCGGACTGGCTGTGCTCATTCCAACGCAACAGACTGGCTGAGGTGGCTGTGAAGCGGATCACTGGCGTAGCACACCTCGAGGTGCAGCTGATGGATAGTGAAGGGAACAAACATCAACCTCAGGACCTAGGATGATCATGGATGACCTAGGGGGTTTCAAAGTGGTGCTCTATTTGTTTATTGTTTTGTATAGTATATTATAATGCGGCTCCAATTGCAACCAAGGCTTATCCAAAATGCAACCAGGGCTCCATACAACATGCAGCTTTTTGGCCCAAGGGTGTATGGACCAAAAAGGGGTGATTGGTGGCAGCCATGGGAGTGTGGCGTGAAATTTCCTCATCCGATGAGGATATGGAAGAGCCTTTCCAGGACAAACTTGTTTTGTATGATGATACCATGTTTTTTAATTAAAACTGGAAGGATTTGACAGCTGAGCAGAAGAAGTACTTGAGTTGCGCACCAATGTTTGCACAGAATGCGGGTTTCTTGCACGGCAAGTCACTTTAAGGTAAGCATGGCAATGGGCAAAGCAATGTTATTTTTCAGCCAAGGTTTATCAGATTTTCTCCGTCGATGCACATATCCTTTTGGATACGCAAGCGACTGCAGCTCGTTTGTGTTCTTAAAGAACCTCACATCGTGGAGACGCACATCTTTCTTATGTTGATTTAAGGCAGTGGCATGGACACACCGCTGATCGCACTCAAGCAGTTGTTCGCACGCAAGCAGAATCTGATCAAGTATCGGCCACTCGTTGTATCTACACTTAGTAACTTAGTAGTATAAACTTGGTGGAGTCATTTTGGGGGGAGCATCAAGGTCAAACAGTGAATGTGGTCGAGCAGCGCAGCGGTTTCTTCAACAAAACTTTGAAGAACCTGACCAGCACTTTGGGCAAATTAACTGGTTGTTTCTCTTTGATTTGACATGCAGTATCTATTTGGCCATCTTAGGTCAACCAAAGATGTGTTTGCTGTGGACGCCTCCCAGAACCATCGGAAGGTGTGCCAGGAAGGTTTTGCTCAATTTGTTCAAGCATTGCACTTTGTGGCGAGGTCGCTGTATACGCGGCCGGCTTTCCGTGCACGCCGTTCAGTCTTCTTCATGGTGGATCTCAACTCCTTGCAGACCGCAATGCCAAGCAAATGTGGGCGGTGCTGCAACATGTCCGTGACATGCAGCCAGGGGTCATTTGTCTTGCACAGTTAGCTTATCACCACCGTGTCCTAACCTCCTCCCATAACCCAATGATGTCACTGAGGCTGTGCTGCTGGAAAACGTTAAGGGATTCTTGAGAGTGTGTTCGTGAACACATAGACAAAGAACTTCCAGAGCCACTTGTTCAAACCATGGATGTTTACATGGCTGATATGTTTTTAAGTCTTGCTGCCAAACTACAAGGTACTTGTATACTATGGTAGGCCTCAATCCGCCTCTTGTCCTATTTGTATGTGTGCTCTTCACAATAATTGTAGAAGGGGCTTGTGACGATTAACCGAGGACACAATTTGGATCCCCACTGAGCCGTGACCGGGTCTACATCTTGCTGGTCCACTCCGAAGTGGTGGACAAACACGCGTCGAGCAATTTCGATGATTTTGCAGCAGCAGTTATTGAGGGCTTGGCAATGCCAAACAATACCGACTGGCACCTTGATTATTGAAAACAATGTGTTTTATTTGAAACGTCAACCCAAATAAAACAACACAAGTTTTACTGTCGTCCAGGGAATCTTTGCTCTTGGACTGATTCTGGTGAAGTACGACAATGTGTTCAACACCGACAACTCCGCCGAAAGCATGCCTTCAAGAGAAAGTGCCTTGGATCACTTCAAAGGTATATGATGTTACACCTGCCGGTGCCCACCTCTTGCCGATTTTTGTCCACCAACCAGCGAGGTCCAAGTCTGCGAAATGGAGAGCCCGCCACACAAAGTGGGCACGCAAAAAGAAGGCGCAGCACCAACCTACAGTATATGGTTGTTAATGCCCATTGCAGCCTTCAGGTCAAAGGATTTGTTGGTGCTTTCAAGAAGATGTATCCCACTGCTGCACTTCAGATTTCAACTGAAAGGGAACTAGATGCTTTTTGGCTTGCAATGTCTCGACAGTGTCCCTTCTTCAAAACATGACATGCTACTTTGGCGGGCTCAGGCTCTTGACAGGATCACAAAATGGACTGGAGGAGATTTCCGTGTGGCTAATACGTCCCAGAATATTGATCGCATGAATGTGATGGTGAAAGAGGATGCACACTTCCCTTGCATTACGCTCCCCAGCTAAGAAAAAATAAGAAGCAGACTAAGATAGAAATGCAACATGGGCCGTTGACTCTTCAACGAACTTAGGCCGCATGGATCTTATCTCCTCGCACAGAAGCAGCGCTTCCTCACAGGCTCAACTCTCACTGCTCGGCTGCCTTGCACTTGGCAATCCTGTAGGAGTGGAAGCTCTGGTCTTGATGGGGCTACCCGTTCATGCCTTGGACCTGTCAGGCTTTTCCAATTCTGAATCTCGTTTGCACCAAGATACTATGTTGAAACAATTTGAACAGTTTTTCGCTCTTTAACGTAATAAGGAGATCTTCAAAATGGCTGGCAATGGAATGTGTATGCGATCCGTGATGGCCTCTTTGTGCGTCCTTCTCAAAGCCATGGACCCACAGAAATTGGCTGCCTACTTAAAGTTATCTTTGCAGCTCCTTGGGGAAAATGTGGGCATCTTTGATTGCTTCTTTTGAATGCCATGCAATGCACACTCAATAGATCTCCTAATTCTGACAGCCATTATGGCTGACAGGTTGCAAAACATGTGTGAATTCATTTAACATGTTGGGCCCCAACAACTTCTTCATCCATGGAATACACAAAAAAAAGGCCCGATAGCTGCAGTCCGATGCCTGTCCTCTCGAGATGGGACTGCGACAGCGATGCTCTGCAACCTGTGCATGTGCGACCCGGTGTTTGGCGCTTTGAAGAGAGCTCTGACACAGGTCAAAGTTGTGAAGAACAGGATGACTCAGGGTACTTGGGTTGCAAACAGTGACATCTGTTTGTCTGTTTGTGTGCTATTATGTGTATGGATATATTGTATACATACATCATTCTGCGCAACGCCCAGGGACGCCATGTCAAATGATGACTATAGCTCCGACGATGGCTCCGATGATTCAACTGGAAATACTGGGGTTGGGGAGATTTCCATGACTTTGAATCACTTGCAATCCTTGCATCAGTTAGATTGCCAAGGGGATACATCTTCTTTTGCAGAACATGGAATGAACCTGAAGCGCTTGAAGGAGCTTTCTAAACAGCCACCGTGCGAATGCGGGTGTCGGGTTCCGTTCAAAGTGCTGAAGGACATCTGTCAGACGTTTTGGTCACTACCCAAAGAATCGCAAGATGCTTTTCTCTGGACCATCCAATCTAGTACTGGAAGACGCAAGAACACCTGGTCGATTCAAGGACTGACTTCAGAAAAGACACACGCAAAAAAAAATAGGGAATTCAAACCAGGAGCAGCAAATCACGGTCAGGATACAATGTATGCCGATCCAGCTGGTTGAAGTACATGGCGATTGGCAAAGAACGAATTCAGCGTACACGAAAGAGATTTCGAGGGATTGATGACAGGGGTATTTGCCGCTTGTCTGAGATGTGACCTTTACTGTCAAACGTAGGCTAAAGTTTGCAACGTTTCTATATTTGTCAGGTCCGAATCCTCGACCATCGACTCAAAAGGCTTCAGTTATGTGCTTCTTCAGTCACATTTATTGGACAGCAGCTGAATCATTGACAACAAGGTGTGGGCCCGAGCTACTACGTTCCTAATTTTGTCAACAATGTGGGTTTTCTCTTTATGGAAGGTACACATCCAGATCTACCAGCCTTGCATCGGAGTCAGACGAGCGACTCCATGAGGAGCTACTGATGCGATTGGTTGATGAACGGATGCATGGACCTACCATGGAGATTGGTGATATGCGACCAAAGGAACTGCCTCTAAGGGAACTGCCACCTGGCAACCGAGCATCACTATATCTTCAATATATATCCTTCATGCGTGTCAATGGTGCCTCTGCAGACAAGCCTGCCAGCCGGGCAACATTCTATGCAGTTGCGAAGGAATGGGAAGGGTGCCTTAAATTCCGCCGCCCTTCTGACCACACGTTGTGTCTGGTATGTTCCAGGCTAAAGGTTGCAATCCATGAGTCAAAAGATGCTAGTCAAAGTCAGAGGTTCATTCAATGCTGTTGAGTTTCCCCACAAATCACTTTTGTTGACAGCACTCTTGAAAGAGCTTACAGTGGAAAACGATCTAAGGACTTCAGTGAACACTGGCAGCATTTTGATACTCTTTTGAGCCACTACATTAGCCAGTGGAAATCAAGGGAGGTGTACTGGACTGCCAGAACCCGGAGTCAGACTTATGGTGACCTTCACTGCATCATCATAGATTCTTATGACAAGAGCAAGATCTTGATTCCAAAATGGCGGTTTGGCAGGCCTCCAAAGAGCAGCATCTACGAACAGTACAAAAGAACCTTAGACATTAAAGCCAAAGCTGCTTCTTTCTCCTTGCTGGGTGTTGGGTCCATTGATATTTGTTTTGGGCCTAAGGAGTGTCCATTACACTAACATGCGCAATTGTTCACGGACAAGGCTGTTACTTGTATTTATGCGATGAGGGAATGCCAGATAATTCCAACTGGAATTGGGAGTGTGTGGCCAGGCTCGACTTTGGTATGTCAAGTGTCAAACATCAGTTCATCATCATTGACTGTAACATTTTTTGATTCACTTGCACCAGCCTAGGTGATGCGAAGCCTCCAAAAGGTTTGGACTCGATGCAGGGCAAGGAATTTGCCATTTGCTCGGGAGTTTCTTGTTTGCAAAACATGTCTAATTCAACAGTGTTGAAGAATACTCATTACTTTGAAGTGACTGCTGTTTTGCCGATCTGAGATTGTGGGTCCAGAGTGACAACACCGTCCGCGAAATCCGCAACTCCAACTCAAGTCGGATGAGCGTGGCACTAGTGTCCTCGGGTTGCTACAACGTAGCAACCCACGCACATCTT